GAATTGAAAGAGACAGACGGATGTCATGTAAACCACATGTGCGCCAAGATGCTTGTGCCTAAAGAGTCTGACATGCTTCTGATTTACGATATGCCCATTTACAGAGACAGGCACTTTGGCGCAAGGCATCCGTATTCACACCTGGTTGAGCACTGAAGCAGCTGTGCCCAGCGGCACTTTGTACCGACAGTTTTAAGCTGCCATTTGCTAAACAAAGTATCCACTGTCTTGTTACTTTCAGTCCTTTCCTCCTTCCTTTAAGGTCTGTCCTTTAAAAATAAAGGAAGAAGAGAGGCACTGAGGTGAGGCGGCCAGTCCAGTGTTGACAATGCAGAATTAACCACTTGTCCGTCGTGTCTACAGTGAGCACGTGGGTTTCTAATCCACCAACAAATAGATTGTAAGGCCTTAAAGGTCCATTTCTAGCTCATTAATTTACATATCCAATCACAGTTTGGCAACTGATGAGGGAGTTACTCCTGTATCGGCTTTCCTTGTGTTATGCCCAACCAACTCGCCATTCACCTCATTCTCCAGAAGATCACTTTGAGTTTGTGCTGGAGTTCTACGGGAGGAATTACGTTCTGCGGCAATTGGTTCTGCTGAAGGTCAAACATTTGTGACTCTGTTCACGTGGGCACACAGCGTAACTTCTTTCTGCCAAATGGCTGGGATAGTTGCAACTAGTTAGATGATATATAAATGTCTTGAAATTGGAAAAACGCAATCTCACATCTCAAATCGCTGGTTCAGTCGCTCATGGGAATATGTTCCACTTGATCTACGGCTAAAAGAGAGAGGGATGGGGGGCAAGCGGTACTGTCCACTTCCATCCCGTCAGCCTGTATCTCAACATCCCCTTTGGTCTTTACCCAAATCAGCGATTGTGGCTGTGTTCTTCTACTGGTGTATTTCTACAATCAGGATGGACAGCTGAGAGGTACATGGAGAAGTGAGGTGAGCAAGGCAAAGTCTTTTGTTCCTCTCTTCTGCTTGCTAGAGATGTGTAAGCCCACAAAATTGCCATTCTATCCCCATGAGTTCCTTTCTCCCTATTATTCTAAACTTTTCGTGATTAACTCTACTGCTGGTTTCTCCTTTTAATTGGTCAGTGGGGCATGAGGTTTGCACTTCAAATGAGCTGCGCCATCTATGGGTAGGGCTGCAGAAAATCAAATTACCGTAAGACAGGATAAAATGGGGCCGGTTCAGGCACTCCAA